ATCGGATCGGAGGGGGAGGGAGAAAAGCTCACCAGTGGCGCGGACGGGAGCGCGTGCTGATGACGTCACAGCTGCAGCAACAGCGACGAGAGTAAGTCAGAAAAAACGTCGCCGCCGCTTTGTTTGCATAGTAAAAGGTTGCTTGCATCTCACCAACATTGCAATCACTAGTGCTGTGATCAAAGTGGTTGTATTTCGTATGGGTACAATTTCCACCCTCGAAAATCAGGAATCTGTTTTCGAATGTGGAAGGAATCAACGGTTTTGTGTGTTAACCCTAACGAGTGCGCAATTTAATCGAAGCTGATTTCTTAAATCACCTACTTCTACTCACTGCCCAGTGAATTCAGTGTCGGTGCCTGATACGTGACGCTGTAAAGTATTGGCTCCAGCCTTGCTAATCCGTCATCGCCGCTTTGGCTGATGTCAGAGTCCGTGATCCGTCGCAGGTTTCGCTGACTTTCGCGATTTGCGCGATTTTCGCGATTTTCGCGATTTGCGCGATTTGCGATTTGCGCGAAACCTGCGACGGATCGCAAACATTGCAAGTGCCCCATTTGAACATTTGAAACACTGAATATGAAACAAGTGGAATCATGAGCAGTCGTCATTCACTATCAAGCAGAAGTGGCGGCTAGAACACCTTGCAGTATTGATCGGGCACTTGTGATTTCCGTGACCCGTCGCGTGAATCGCGCAAATCGCGAAAATCGCGCAAATCGCGAAAATCGCGCAAATCGCGAAAATCGCGCAAATCGCGAAAATCGCGAAAATCAGCGAAACCTGCGACGGATCGCGGACTCTGACATCAGCCTTTGACGTCAAAGTGACGTCACCCGCACACGCTAACACCCGCGCCGCCGGTGAGCTATTCCACGGGGCCGGCGAGTGTTCAACACCCATGTCCTAGAAGCTCCGGTGTACGGAAGCGAAACATGGAGCACGATAAAAGATGAAGAAAGAAAACTGGCATCAACCCAAAGAGCAATGGAACGAGCGATGTGCGCTGTGACGTTAATGCACAAAATTCCAGCACGTGAAATTCGAAGGCGGACCGGTGTAAAAGATGTCATCGAGACTATTTACGATTCGAAAAAGCGATGGGCAGGACATGTTGCCCGTCTTAACGACAACCGTTGGACATCACGAGTGACCGATTGGTATCCCCGCGGAGTTAAAAGGCCGCAAGGAAGACCCCCAGCCAGGTGGAGTGACTCGCTGCTAAACCTACACGGGCAAAAGCGCTGAACGAGCTTTTCGACGAGTCTTTCGCGCGTGCCATTTGAATTTGAGGCTCACTACGAGTGTTCGGTATTCGTTTGAGCCCAAATTCTACCAAATTCATGGGAGAAAAAGTCCATTGTTCATTTTAAAGTAGATGAAGGGGTGCAGAAAGGCATCAGGAGGTGAAAATAGAAGAGGAGGGAGGTGGAGACGACTAGGGATCGAGTGTTTCAACCTCTCAACAGTCGCGAGTGTGAGCGGGCCAGGTTTTGAATTTGGTAACAGACTCGAAAGAGCGGTGAAGCGCGTATTAGTCGGCTTCTTTGCGCCGAAGTATAACTGTATAAGAATATTAGCGGTACAAACTGTATCTGCGTTCCTCATCAAGCAAATTCGCAGTAGAACGTAATCTGCGGCCTGTGTTGCGACAGAGCGACCAGTTATTATCGACCGACGAGAAGACGGTGCAATGCGAGGGTGATGTGGAATGAGGAGTGGGGTGGAGGGGTACGCCCGCCTTCTATATTGCTTACCCACTGAAGGCATAACTTATGGTTAGGAAGTAGTTCCTCCTTCTGCTGAGACTGAAGCGTAGGGAAGGAGAGGCTCCTTCCTAAGACTGAGCCTTACTGTTTTCACCAGTTCCTTCTACTCGAAAAATCGTTTCCACATCCGCCTCACATAGCACCAAGAAGACTAATGATCTGCATGACGTTAATACACAACTCTACAGAAGATAGCTCCTCAAAGCGAAACCACGTAGAGTAGAGTCCGAATAGAGTTGAGTCTCCCCTTTCGCATTTCCAACCTGTTTGAGCTGCTGCTAAAGCTGTGGGTCGTCGTCAATCCATTGGACCCTCCGCACAGATGGTACCAGAAAGCAGTGAAAGCTTGTGTGCAGTCCTCGAAAAGTTTAGCTATAAACCGAAAGAAGAACTGCAATCAAACTGTCCTAGGAGCAAAAGCAAATGCAAATATGCACGTAGGTACATTAACACGTTGACGACCGCGCTATTTTTCGCTGTCTGGCGTGTGGGACCGCGCGCATTATTTTGACCGCGCGAGTGTGACATGACATCATGTCACACGGTCCCACGAGAACTCCTTTTTCTCAGGAAGTGTGTATTTGTTATCTTTCTTGTGTGGTAGGTCTCCGATTATGCGATTTTGGCCATTTCAGCGATTCCTGCGATTTGAGAGCGCGTAGAAAGGGCCAAAGCTAACGTGCGATTGGAGAGTACCCTCCTAGGATCACTTCCTGGTCCCTGTATCTTGAGCTTATAGAATGATCGTTGGATTGCAATCGGATTTACATGTCGGAATCACAGACTCGAAGATTTGCGGAAAAGGAGGAACGGAGGCAAAGGAAAACGTTCACCGACAACGCAGAAGCGACTACGATTTTTCAGAAGCAAAGCACGCGCATATGTCCATCTTCTACCAAAAGTGTCGGTTGTATCCCTACAGTGATATGATTAACTAGTCTAGACCGGTGAACTTCCGTAGTGATTGTAAGGTACCACGTGGCTATCGATGACTGATACCACGTGGCAGCCAGTATAAAAGCCGTTAATTCTGATGTGCTGGATTCTCTGGTTTCGACAATAAAGCTACTGCTACACAGTTGCAACACTGGCGATCAGGACGCCCAAGGACCCGAAGATGGACGCTCTCCCCGCCCTCCTGCAAGCCGCTCATACAGCTCGATCTTCAATCGCGCCGTATGAATAAACAGGGAGCCGCTATCATGAAGCTGATGGAGAAGATATCCGAATCATCAGGCACGAGCAGTTCATTCGTGGTCAAAGACAAGCATGCAGCGTTCGACTCTCTCTACCGGCGAATCGAGAAGTTCAGCTATGATCCCGATCGAGACCGCACCTTCGACATCTGGTTCAAGAGATACCAGGATCTGTTCGATAACGAGTGCGACGACCTCGATGAGAAAGGACAAAACAAGACTGCTCGTTTCCCGCTGGACGAGGACTGCCACCGGATTTAACTGCAGCTATCTCACCCAAGCAACCATCGGAGCTCTCTTGGACCGAAATCCTGGAAGTGCTAGAACGCCAATTCGGATCTGCCAAGACGCTATTCCGTCGTCGTTTCGAATGTTTCAAAATGAGGTACGAAGGTCAAGAATTCAACAACTACGAGCTTTAGTAAAGACGAAGTGCACGGATGCCAAACTGGACACAATCGACTTTGATGGCCTCCAATGCCTATTCTACGTCGCTGGATTCCAAGGACCCGACTTCGCCGAATACCGTACCCGCCTCTTGAGGAAGCTGGACCAATCCGAAAAGGTGACGTTCAAGGACCTTACAGCGGAATGTCAGCTGATCAAATCATACAAGGACGACTCCCGAATGCTCGAAGGCGATCCAGCAGTAAACTTTATTCGCCGAAAGACAAGATTTCGAAGCAAGAAGAAGCTCAAGCAGCAACAGAAGGATGAGCCAAACCTATCTCGGTATCGATCTGGAAGCAAGGAAATTATGCCGCCACGTGGATCGAGTACCCGTAATCGACGCAGACGTCAAATCATTAACGTCATAGCCGCTCTCAAGAAGGACGACCACCACATTTAGACGTTATCATCAACGGTCA